GGTCGTTTGTTTTGTAGTAATCTTTTTTCCATTAGCCTCTCGTGTTTTAACAGCTTGGGTAATGGGTTGTGTGATGGGCTTGTGAGTTCTTTTGTTGTGGTATCCTGGGTCCTGCGTTGTAGTCTCCTGGGTCGTTTGTGTTTTGATCTCTTTTCCATTAGCCTCCTGTGTAGTAACGGCTTGGGTAATGGGTTGTGTGATGACCTTGTGAGACTTATTGCTGTGGTATCCTTGGTCTTGTGCTGTGATATCCTGGATCATTTGCTGTGTTGCAACTTCTTGAGTTCTTGTGGTGTAATTTCCTGAGTTTTCTGATGTGATATCCTGAGCGGGTGGCTGTGATGTAGTATTTTGGGTTTTAGTCTGGCTTCGAGTTTGGGTTCTGGGTCTGTGTTCTTGGCGTGTGTCAGCTTGTTTGGTTTTGGGGTTGGGGGGGGGGGGGCGACAGCTGGTGAAGCAGCCTTGTTTTCTGGATGGTGGTTGTCCTTCGTTTATAGGATGGGCTTGGGCCTGGGTCTGATGAGGGGGATTGGCGGTGGTGTCCCGTGTTGTTTCGGGTCTGGTGTTGGTTTTCATGGCTGGGACTCATTTGTTGGTGAGGGCTAGCCTCCAGATGTCTGGTAGGCGGGAGGTATCATCCCGTCTATTCATGTTATGGGGGTATTTCTCTATCTCGATGGCTTGCCTGATTATTCCCTTGCTGGAGTGTTCAGTGTTGGATATTAATTTGGTTCCTTCGAAATTAATTTCATGTCCTGTGGCTTTAAGGTGCTGGAAGAGGGAGGAAGTATTTTCTTCTCTTCTGACTGTATTTTTGTGTTCTGCGATGCGTGCATTTATTCTCCTGTTGGTTTGTCTAATGTATGTGGCTGGGCAATTGTTGCATGGTATTTCATAAACTCCTTGGTTTTCTAGCTGGATCTTGTCTTTGGGGTTTCTTAGGATGTTGGCTATTTTTTGGTCAGTGCCGAAGGCTGTCCTGATATTGTGTTTGTGGAGAATTTTGCTGATTTTGTCTGTGGTGCCTTTGATGTAGGGGAGGAGTGCGATACCGTTGTCTTGTTCTGTGTCTTGGTTTTTTGGGGGTATCTCTTTTCGGATCAGATTGGTGATAGTGTTTCTTTGGAATCCGTTGGAAATTAATCGTTAGTGAGGGTGTGTAGTTCTGTTCTCAGGTGGTCTTTGTCAGCTAGGCGTTTGGTTCTGGAGTCTTGGCTACGGAGTTGATCTATGCAGGGTGGTGATGGGATTGTGCATTTAGGTAGCAGCTGGTGTGTGTTTTTTTCCGGTAGATGGTGTGTACTAGGGAGCCATTGGGTTTTTTGTAAATTAGGATGTCCAGGAAGGGAAGTTGGTTGTTGGTTTCTGTTTCCATGGTGAATTGTATTTTGGGGTGTAGGTTGTTAAGATGTGTGAGGAAGTTGTCCAGTTTTTCTTTCCCGTGTGGCCAAATTACGAAAGTGTCACCTACATCAAAGGCACCACAGACAAAATCAGCATGCTTTTAGATGTGTGTGTGTGTGCATGTGTGTGTACACGTGCGTGTGTATGCATGTGTGTGTGCATGCATACAGGGATTATAATTGACATAATTGTCTACCTGGCATAATTTAATGGGTATTAATATTATTATGTAAAGTATTAAACAATTTTGGGCTCACTTGAAAAACTACCTGTTTCCTCAAAAATAAGACCCTGTCTTCTATTTTTTTTGCCTCCAAAAGAGGCACTAGATCTTAATTTCAGCAGATGTCTTACCTGTTTACCTTAGGACCACTGCAGCCAGGTCTTCCATGCCCCAACACCTGTTGTGCCACTGCCCAACCTCTATAGCCGCTCATGGTCAGACACGATGTGGTGCATCACAGCAGTGATACCACTTGTGACAGGCTATGGGACTTGTCTTACTGGTGTCACTGCTTGCAGCAGGAGGCCATAGCATGCATGAGCAGTGGCACAAGTGTGGCATGTGGCTTGCTGCCACAAGCAGCGACACTGGTGTGACATGCATGTGGACTGGTGCAATGAGCCATGAAGCATCTGACCATGAAAAAAGAAGAAGAAGAAGGAGGAGGAGGAGGAGGAGGAGGAGGAGGAGGAGGAGAAAGAGGAGGAGGAGGGATAGGAGAAGAAAAAGAAGACCTCAGTCCTAAAGTAAGCGAGTGCGGGGCATGTGGGCAGCTCTACCCCACCCAACCCAGCTTGATTTTTAGGCATGTACCTAGCCCTAGCTTGTACAACCAGATGGTGTGACAGAGTGGGCAGGATCTTAACTAGGCCTTATTTTTGGAATAGGACTTATATTAGGCACACATGTAAAAAAATCAAGCTTGTGTTTAATTTTGGGATAGGTCTTGTTTTTGGGAAAACATGTTACTTTTACTATTTTGCCTTGCTCACCTAGAACTCTGAGTATTTACCAGCAACAGGGCAATTTTTATGTGTGCAGCCTTATAAACCAGATAGCCAAATGGAAGCAAGGCATTGATTGGTTGTACTACCATTTTTATTTTTGATACATGTCCCTATGGCCCCTCCCATGGCTCCCAGCTATAACTATCATTTTCTTATAAATGGTAAAAGGACTTAGCAGCTAACATTTTATAATTCCTTGCTTTGATTACATGCAATTATATTAACTGGGATCCATTTGTTAAAACCAGCTACACACTTTTTTTCCATTTTGGAAGCTGATATAAGTGCCAAAGCCAAACTTCTGGAATGTCTGTTTGCCTTAATACTGTATAATATGAAGTCTCCAGAGATCTATGAGAGAACAATTATTTCTTCTAAAATTCAGAAATGAATTTTATTAGTTATTTTGAGGCATTAAGCACTGTTGTCTTTGTGATAATTGGTTGTGCATTCAATTTGTAATTTTGTACTTTATGCTTCTAGTGCATTAGATCTTATCAGGACCGTATCTATGGATAATGCCGTTAAATTTTCAACTATATGAATTGAGCTCCACCTTGTGGGTTTCAGTGGCAACTAATTTAATTTAGGACCTGTTAAATAGCTACTGTGGTTGACGATAAAATTTGGTAATTCTTATACTTTTCTTCCTATATTAATACATAGAAAGTAACTGAAAAATTATTCCCAGATTTGATTTCCAACCTTATAATAATGACTGTGCAAGCTGATCAAAGTTTACTTCAATCTCATTTATTCAGTAACTGTGCACAGAACAGCAGATGTTACATTACTAAATTATTCTGCACATGTCCAATCAATCCAGAAACTTAATTTTTTATTAAAAATACAATTCCTTTTCAAAATATTATCTGCAAAGATCCTTTCTGTTATGAACTAATATATGAAAATTGCAGGTTGAATTAAAAGACACACCACATTCTGCAGCTGCTTACCTGAGTCTCACCCCAATGAGGTAGGCTCACCCCATCCGTGAAGGCAAAGGAGGCATGCTGCAGATCCCCATTCCTCGAGAAAATTGGCTGATAGGGTCCAGGAGAAGGATACACTTCAATTACGAGGAGACACTTCAATTCTATAAGCTTGGTCAGTTTATAGAATGGAATGTAGTAACTGTTTGATAAGTAAAGCATCCTTTAGCTGCTGCAGCAAAACTTCAAAATATTCTTGGTGGAAAACAGGAAAAAAACCCAGCAAGATTTAATGGCTACAATGCATCCTACTTACAAAAGGTGGTAGCATTTCTTTTCAAATTGCACAAAAATGAAGTCTTTTTAAACTGTAGTAAATCAGCAACATAACAGAATGGGGAGAAGAGTTATAAAGATTTAAACCAAGGAACCCTTGTTTACTTTATATATTTTTCTCATTAAATTAAACTCATGCATTAAATGTGAACAGGATTTAGGCAAGCAGATTATTAAGCATGCTTCAAGAATATCCAGGGAGGCGTGCATTATAAGTATGGACAGATTTTACACTTTACACCAGGACTCCATTAAAGTCCCAAAGGTGCTTTTTCAAGAGCCAACTGGACTTACTGGTTTCTTTTTGAAGATATTTCACTTCTCATCTTCAGCAATGAAGCAACTTCCTAGATGAGAAACGAAAAGTCTTCAAAGAAAAAACAGGAAAGTCCAGATGTCTCCTGAAAAAACACCTTAAAGACAACCAAGATGTAGAGTTGTAATTGCAGGAACGCTCTTATCTTGGATGGCAAACCTCAGATTAAGAATGTTTATCAAGTAATTACAACTCAGACAAACAAAATCACTAATGCAAAGAAGGATTAGAGAGAGGAAGTAAACGTGTTAAACTTTAACTAGAGATAATTAATTGTATTAATTACTATGCTAAACAGTAACAAAAGTTGATCAACAACCAAAGTTAACCAATGTTAGAGGATTACTAGAAATGTGTATAAATACAAGACTAGACTCCAATAAAGTCATCATGATTCATGTGATCATGGTCAAACACCTCGACTGCCTCGTCATTGCAACACCAAGAATGGCTGAGAATCTCCATAGACATTTAACAAGTCCATTAAAACTGAGTCTGCCAATTATCTGGGTTGCCAAAATGTGGAGAATCACTAGTGTTTTGTCCTATACCTCAGATATGATAGTTTTGTCCTTTTGAAATTTTTTTCCCTTTCTTAAATTTCCTAGTGGTCCCCTGTTCAGCAACTCGTTAGCTCTAGTCCTTTTTTCCTACATCAGCCAAAATCTATCTAGGCTGTGTCAAAAAAGATGGACAGGTACACTGAAACTAGTGGTTGTCAGTCAGCCCTCCCGGGCTTTCAGTGCTCTGTTCTCCCTCAGAAGATGGAAAGACAGGCTGGCTTGATCGCCTGGAAAAGGCCTTCAACGGCAACTGCCAGTCAGCCCGACCGGAGATGCCTGGCAACATTCCCAGAGAAGATGCAATTCGGAAACCAAAACAATTCATCCACCGCTTTTGGGAAGTAGCAGCATTCCCCATAAACTGTCATAAAATCACCTCCCCCAAACTATCCTACTCGGAAGCATTAACTCTTCCATGCCGGAAGTAGAAATTTCTCTGAAGGCGGAAGTCCGAACTGTTGTGGAGCTGCTTTGACGTTTTTAAAAGGATTTGTTTTTCCTCTCCCTTTCTCGCCTTAATCTGCGTAATTCCGGCAGCCTCTGGCGGGAGCTCCGGTGGGCGTTGCGGATCGGATCCTGCCCTGCTCGCGGGTTTCTGTCCGGTTTTCACCGCGAGTGCAGCAATCAGAGCTGCTGCTTTTACTGGGGTCCGGAGCACGGAGCTTTCAATAGATCGCCGCCGATCTCGAGTATGTGAGTGGATTTTCCCCTCCGGATCTGATTTTAGGGGGAAAAAAAAAAAAAATGCGGGCACGGAACTTGAAGGTCTCAGTCACGGTAATCGTAATTCAGACTTTTTAACGTTACGGAAGAGTTTCGTCAAATTGGGATTGCAACGTACGTTAACATTCTTAAGGTCCTTCCAAGTCCCATGTTTTTTTTTTTTTCATGATGTTGCAATAGTTAACGATCGCTGTGATGCTCTAATAACGTTCAAATCTCGTACTAAGCATATCTTGGTGGATAATGGCTTTCCCCCTCAAATTTGTCACCTCTCTACTTAATTGAATTCAGAGTACTTGGGTAGTATTACTAACTTGCTGCGTTCAGTGTGGAAAAACAACAACCCACGATGAAGGCGGTGTGGAGTATGAGTTGGCAAATTTTATGTGTGACAGACTGAGCTAGCCAATGGCAGATAAATAGATTTCTGAATGAGTATGAGATGGCAAATTTTATGTGACAGACTGAGCTAGCCAATGGCAGATAAATAGATTTCTGAATGAATCTGTGATTCTGTGAGCAACTCAATCTGCTTGCCTGCTTTGGGGTAAAGGTTGCTCTTTTTAAAAAAATAAAAAAGCAATATTTATATAAATATTTATAATATTTACATACAAGCCATGCCCAGCCACTCAAATGACCACCAAGCCATACCCACAAATTAGGCCATGCCCACAGAACCAGTTAGTGGTCTCTGGGATCTAAAATTATAAGATTGGTGGTCCCTGAGGTCCAAAAGGTTGGCGACCCTTGGTTTAGAAAGTAGCTGCCTCATACTGTGCTCTCTTGACTCTGTACATGTGAATTGATCCTACCTTTTCTACTGTATAATCCAATAAGAAAAATCAACAAAGCGAGCAAAAAAGATTACAGGTAGCCCTCAATTTACAATCATTTGATTACAATGGTTTGAAGCAGGGGTAGTCAACCTTTTTATACCTACCGTGCACTTTTGTATCTCTGTTAGTAGTAAAATTTTCTGTAACCACCCACCGGTTCCACAGTAATGGTGATTTATAAAGTAGGGGACAAAACCCCTACCGCCCACCATGAAAGCTGGAACGGTAGGGACCAGGTTGACTACCACTGGTTTGAAGTTACAATGGCACTGGAAAAAGTGACTTATGACTGTTTTTCACACTTATGCCATTGTAGCATCCTATGGTCACATGATCAAAATTTAGAAGCTTGGCAACAGGCATGTATTTATAAATGGTTGCAGTGTCTTGGGATCATGTGATCATCTTTTGCCACCTTCTACAAGCAAAATCAATGGAGAAGCCAGGTTCACTTAACAACTGTGCTTATCAATAGAAATTTTGGGCTTAATTGTGGTTGTTAACTGACGACTACATAAAGTAATTTGTATAAGCATGTGAGCAGTAAAAGTGCAAGTCAGCCAACATGATTATTTTTTTGCTTAAGATTGGAAGGAAGCTTTAATAAAAATAAATACAAAACTTGTTGATTTATTTCATTAAATTTATTATAGTCTACCACTCTAAGAAACTGGGTAGCTTATAAGATCTAATATAAAATAATTGAAAACATAAACAAAGCAAAGCAACCCAGATTAAAAACATATATTAAAACACAGTATGGCAACTGTCCCCTCTCCTCTTCCCTCAACAAATTAACCCCAGGCCTGGGACCAAAATCTGATTTTAAGTGCTTTTCAAAATCCTAGGTGCCACCTGAATTTCTGAACGATAATGCTGAATTAGTAAATCATTTAAGAAAGATTTGGTTGTGTAATTGCCAACTGAGAACAAGAAACGCGAATGCTACTGTGCAATGCTTATTTGGAATGATGTAAAGTATTGGATAATATAACACCTGTTATTTCTTTTCTTTTTTCTTTTTAAAAAAGGAGTCTATATGAGTGAACTTGGTTCTAGTTTCCCAACAACATTTTAAGCTGCCTGATTCAATTTGGAGGAACAGATATGAGTGGCTCCAAACCTGATATTCTGTGGGCTCCACACCATGTTGATAGATTTGTTTTATGTGACTCGGAACTCAGTCTCTATCGTATTGAATCTGCAATAAGTTCAGAACTCAAAGCAGGATCACTGCGTTTATCTGAAGAAACTGCAGCTACTCTTTTGTCCATTAATTCAGAGACTCCATATTTGAAATGTGTGGCTTGGTATCCAAAATATGATCCTGAATGTCTACTGGCAGTTGGGCAAGCTAATGGTCGAGTTGTCTTGACTAGCCTTGGCCAAGACCACAATTCAAAATGCAAAGATTTGATAGGAAAAGAATTTGTGCCAAAGCATGCTCGGCAGTGTAACACCTTGGCATGGAATCCATTGGACAGTAATTGGCTTGCTGCTGGCTTGGATAAACATAGAGCTGATTTTTCAGTATTGATCTGGGATATAAGTAGTAAATACACTCCAGAAATTTCAATTGCCACTGACAAATTAAGGCTTTCAAGTGATATTGAATCAGGATTGGTTGTAACAAAATCACTGTATGAATTAGGTCAGAACGATGCTTGTCTTTCTCTTTGTTGGCTTCCTCGAGATCAGAAACTTCTTTTAGCTGGAATGCACCGAAACCTGGCTATTTTTGACCTTAGAAACACAAGCCAAAAAATGTTTGTGAATACCAAAGCTGTTCAGGGTGTTACTGTCGATCCATACTTCCATGATCGTGTGGCTTCCTTCTATGAAGGTCAGGTTGCCATATGGGACCTTAGAAAATTTGAGAAACCTGTGCTAACCCTGACAGAACAACCAAAACCTTTAATAAAAGCAGCATGGTGTCCTACAAGAACTGGTTTATTAGCTACTTTAACCAGAGATAGTAATGTCATCAAGCTCTATGATATGCAACACACTCCCACACCTATAGGGGATGAAACAGAACCTACAATCATTGAAAGAAGTGTTCAGCCTTGTGAGCACTATATTGCTTCCTTTGCGTGGCATCCTTCAAGTCAAAATCGAATGGTTGTTGTAGCTTCTAACAGGACTATGTCAGATTTCACTGTGTTTGAAAGAATCTCTCTGGCATGGAGTCCAGTTACTTCTTTAATGTGGGCTTGTGGAAGACATTTGTATGAATGTACAGAAGAAACTAGCTCTTTTGAAAAAGACATAGCCACTAAAATGCGCCTGAGGGCTTTATCCAGATATGGCCTAGACACAGAACAGGTCTGGAGAAACCATATTCTTGCAGGAAGTGAAGATCCGCAACTGAAGTCACTTTGGTACACTCTGCATTATATCCTTAAAATAGTATTTGCTGCACAGGATGACTGATTCCTTCCATTCAGGGACCTCTCTGAAATATATGGATTTCTACAGAATATATTGGGGTGGCTCCTTTTTTCAGTTTAATATAAGGTGCTCTGGCCTTATGCATCATTGTATAAAACAGTACTAATGGTTTTCAGCTACTTAATTTGTCTAAAGTAATCTGGATTATTTTAAGACTGAAAAGAAAGGTAGTGTCTGAGTTTCCTTATCAAACTTAATGATAATACATATTTGTTATAACCGCTTTATGCTATAGCATAGTTATAAGCTATTAATTATGGAGAGGATTACACTAAGATTGTACAAATCATTTTGGAGAGGGTATTTGCCCAATTCCTTGATATCAAGTTGGTTTCTTGATATCAAATCTAACTCAGTAGCAAAACAAGGGATATTAATAAACAAATATATTGTTTTTGCCTCACACATCATCTTATTAAGTTACTTCCTATACCGTAAAATACTTATGAAACAATATGCTGATGATATGGATCAGAAATTCACAGGAAACAAAGGATCCTTGGTGTATGCAGGCATCAAATCTATAGTGAAAACTTCTATGGGTAAGTTCATTTTGCAAATTGTTATTTAGTAACATCCTAAATAATTTAAAAGTGAATGCCTTTTAGGCTGTTCCTTCATGGCTGATTCAATATTATAGCTGCATCCATTGACAGCTTCTTAAAGAAACCATATCTTTCCATGAGCCATTTAATTCAAGGTAAAGTAACATTTGATTTAGGGAGGTGCTAATAGGTTGCAACATGGTACATTCAACACATTGCTTCATCTTTTCCTCTTTGAATCCAATTCATTGCATTGTCCTATTAATATCTTGACTGAATGATAATTTGTAAACACAACAATGTTAAAAGACTGTTGCAATGCCTATATTTTAATGTTAAATTTAACATAGTGCATTCAAATATTAAGAAGTTGTGCTGATTGTGTATACAGTCAATCTGTAATTCCTTTTCAGGAACAACAGAGAACTTGAGGCACAGCCGAAGTGGATCTGACAGATATGCAGATATTATTCAGTATATGAGTGAAGAAAGATCATTGGCTTTGCAGCTTTGTGGATGGGTAAAAAAGGGAGCAGATCTAGATGTGGAACCCTTTCTGTGCTCTTTGGAACAAGAAGGAGACTGGGAGCGAGCTGCTGCTGTAGCATTATTCAATTTGGACATCCGACGAGCAATACAGATAATGAACAAAGGAGCATCTTCTGGCAAAGGTGTGTTATGATGTTCTACCACTAATAGAGCATTCGATCATGCTGAATATTATTTATCCACTTATCTGTTAATTAGACTGCTTTAAACAATGTTAAATTCAAAGATACAAAAATACCATTTGTTGATTCAAGGGCTGAATTATAGAATGACATAAGAAAACTGGTACCTAGTTTAAAGTTATACTTCTATCTGTAGAATATATGAAATTCATTTGCTACCAAACTGTTTAGTCCCATGGCTTGCACAAAAATCTTTGGGATTGTGTTTAATGACTTTTATTTTCTCCTGGTTATTCTTTAGATACAAGCTTGTAGAAACACTTGGACCATAATTTTGTCATTTATCTAACGCTATATAAAAATGAAAATTTAGGTATCTTGAACAAGAGCGGTGTGATGACCTAATGGTGAAGATGTTCATTTCTCACCTGGAGGATAGAGAGTTCAGTCCTACGTAGCAGCAGATGTGTTTCTCCCAGGGCTCAAAGAAAAAAATATGCTGTGAACTCTATGTGGAATCAAGGGCATCCAGCCGATGAATGCTCAGGTTCATCCAGTCATAGCTTTACATAGTTCATCTGAGTTGATTGGTACCCAACTCAGTTGATTGGTTCAGAGTAATTTTACAGAACCAGCAGGGCCAATGTTAAGAAATTGTAAAAAAAAACTATCTAAAATTAAATTAATTCAAGAATTATTTCAAGTTCATTGAGCCCTCAAAAAATGGATATTTGATTTCTTCCCCTTCCTGTTAGCATTGTAAGAAATCTGTTTTAGTTACAAATAATTACATGTAATTATTACAATACAATATTGGGAGGAAATATAATTAAGGATTTTAATGTTATTTCAAACTATATTCTTAAAAAAAATTGTCACCTCCTGAAGAGCTTTGGCTCTGTTGAGTCTGTGTGTCAGGCACAAGGAGTTAGGAACACACTGAGTTGATCAAGGTTGCTTATTAATCATTGTAATGTGCATTTACTTGGACAGACGGTGCGTTCTCTTGGCAATGGTCAGATAAGACTTAAGGGACTCCAGAGGAGATAAAGGCTTCACCATTTTTTGCTGTGCAGGGATTTTAATTCAGCTCTCTCTTCACACTCCTACCCGTTCTATTTGGAAATTGCACTACACTGGGAAGTATCAAAGAAGATAATTTTATATAAATGGAAAGTTAACCTCCTGATTTTAAGGATTGTGTCCAATATATGAATCTATTATTTATCTCTCTCTTCCAACATTGAGAAGATATTTTTCAGTATAGTATATATTAAGGATTGAATTTTATATTGCTATTAATAGTTATTGCATGGGTCTTTTCCTTTTTTTCAGTTTATTATTTATTTTTGTCATATATACTTCATTTGAATCACCAAACTACATAGACTTGCGAATATAGGTAGTCCTCGACATAACGACCATAACTGAGTGGTTAGCGAAGACAGTTAAGTGAGTTTTACCTCATTTTATGCCCTTTCTTGCCACAGTTGTTAAGTGAATCACTGCAGTAACACAGCTGTTAAGTGAATCCAGCTTCCCCATTAACTTTGCTTGTCAGAAGGTGCAATAGATGATCACATGATCCCAGGACACTGCAACCTGAGTCAGTTGCCAGGCATTTGAATTTTGATCATATCACCATGGGGATGCTGCAAGGATCAAGTGTGAAAAACAGCTATAAGTTACTTTTTCAGTGCATTGTAACTTCAAATGATCACTATATGAACTGTTGCAAATTGAGGACACCAAGAATTTTAAGTGCCAAAGTGCACCTAAAAAATTAAGTTTTCCCATGTACATGGAAATACATTTTTAAAAGTACCCATATAGACTCACATATAAGCCCATCTGCACATAAGCCAAACTTGATTTTTTTTCTCTTCCCCCTATTGGTATTGTCGGATATGGGTTTTTATTTGGTATTTCTCTTATTAAAAATAAAAAAGATTGATGCATTTCACAGAATAATAGTTTATGTAATTTTAAAAATATTTTGAGCTGTTACCTGTTACTATGTTGTTAGTTATTTTTTTGACTTTAGGGTTACTGTTTTTTGCAATGCAGGTAATCTAAACCTTAATGTGGTGGCTATGGCATTGTCAGGCTATACAGATGAAAAAAATTCCTTGTGGAGAGAAATGTGCAGCACTCTTAGGTTGCAGCTGAACAATGCTTACTTATGTGCCATGTTTGCTTTTTTGACCAGCGAATCGGGCTGCTATGATGGAGTTTTGGTAAGCTTTTTTAAACTGAAAACTATCATTATTGAAATATATGCCGCAAATATGGATTACTCAGTGTCAAATTAGGAGATTGATCTGTCAGTTAAAGTGGCATAAATGTTGAGCCTTTGAGACAAAGGCAAAAGATCTTTATGATAGAATGTGTTGTAGTAGTGCAGTGAAAGTATGTTTTCTTTGCATTGATTGTTCTTGCTCCAATACAAAATATTTTGAAAAATCCGACATTTGTGAGAAGGTAGTCAGAAATATGATTGCTTGACCAAAATATTTACTAATGGTCAGGCAATTAGAAAATTAAGTATTAATAAAAATGTATCATTTTTAAAAGAATTTGACACTTTTTATATTTTATATGGCGGTGTTGACAGCGCAGTGGTTAAGATGCTGGGCTTGTCAGCTGGAAAGCCAGCAGTCAGGTTCAAGACCCAAGTGCCACATCTTTAACCCAGCTCCTGCCAACTTAGCAGTTTGAAAGCATGCAATGCAAGTAGATAAATAGGTATTGCTTTGGTGGGAAGTGCTCCATGACATCATGCTGGCCATATGACTGTGAAAATATCTTTGGACAGTACTGGCTGAATGGCCTTGAAATGGAGTTGAGCACCACTCCCTATAGTCAGCAATGACTACTATAATGGAGTAAAATCTGCAGGGACTCTTATCTTTTTTACCTTTATATTTTTCAAATTGCAATATATAGATACTTTATAGTATTAAAAGAGAACCGTCCTACTTGTCATCTCATTTTTCATGAAAAAATGAGCTATTTTTAGATTATGTCAATATATGTGTGCGTGTGGTTTTTTTCAGAATGAAAGTAATGTAGCTGTACGAGACAGAGTGGCATTTGCTTGTAAATTCTTAACTGATATACAGGTAAGATGACCAGATGTGCCGTTATTTTTTTTTTCTGCTTTATTCCCATTTCTTTACAGAAAACATACTATGTTGAAAAGAACAAATAATAACCCACTTTTCCAAATTTCTCATCTTCTTTGTGAAGGAGAAGTAATAAAGCTAGGAACTGAATTATATCAAAATGATTAATATTTTGTGCTATTCTGGGCATCAGTATTGCCTGTAGGGGTATCAAACCTGCGGCCCATGGGCCAGATGCATCAAGTGCTGGCCGTGCCCACCCCCATTTTAACAAAGGGGAGAAAAAGTTGTGATATGTGAAATGACAACGTGACACCATGAGTTTGACACCCCTGCAGTAGATCAATGTTTCTCGACCTTGGGAACTTAAGGATGTGCAAACTTGAACTCCCAGAATTTCCCAGTCTGTATTTGGTTGAGAATAGTTAGGGTTTGGATTTCACATTTCATGGCTTATAGTAACTATGCAGGTTTTTGGTGGTCTCTGAGCTTGGATATTTTAATTGCAGACATTTTATTATCCAAACTAGCACTGATGATGTTATCTACTTTGGGTAATGAAACATTTGCAAGAAAACAACCAAGCTCAAAAAGCATCAAAGACCTATCATTTCAACCGAGCTACACATATTCTCCTTTATTGGTGATAAGTGATTGCCATGTGATATTCTGAGTATAGGTAGTCGTGTTATATTTTGAATTGGCTTTCTAGTGTCATAATCCTAGTGCTGTTAGTAATAATATCAAATAACAGCATGGCTTTTGCGTTTTCTTAAATTGTTAAAAGGTGACTTAATTTTTCTTTTCTATCAAAAATAGAGTCCTCAGCATATCCAAAGTTGTGGTTTCTCCTAGCAATTTCTCATATATATTCTGCAGCTGTCAAATTAATGAAGTGACAGTATTTCAGAAACATTTTGAACTGAAGGACATATTGAAAATATGGATAATCTGTATTATCCATTCATGTTAATTAATGAACTTCAAATTTTGTTCATATTAAGAAAAATTAATAAGAATTAATTAAAAACACCATATATGTTTAATACCATACAGAGGCATGCCACATTTGTGTGGGTTGGAAATAGGTAATAGGTTACAGGTTGAAGACTTTAAGGAAATCATATTTTTTTACCTAGCTAAACAGATTCATTGAAAAACTAACAAATGAAATGAAAGACGCTGGAAATCTTGAAGGAATCCTATTGACAGGACTCACAAATGATGGAGTCGATCTGATGGAAAGTTATGTAGATAGAACAGGTGATGTTCAGACAGCAAGCTATTGTATGCTGCAGGTTTGTATCTTTTGTGATTCTTGATTCTTAACAAATGTATCTTCTTTTATGTATACTGAGAGTATTTACACCAAGACAAATTCCTTGTGTGTCCAATCACACTTGTCCAATAAAGTATTCTATTCTATTCTATTCTATTCTATTCTATTCTATTCTATTCTATTCTATTTTGAAAATAATCTCAAGCTTCAACATTTGTGAAAGTACTATGCTTGCTTCACCCATTTATGTTCCTGCTTGCCTTTGAGGTAAATCATTTCTGTTGTTTCATTTTATTATCTATGTGGTATCTTCAGTAAAATATTTTGTGAATATCTTCCCACTATTTCTAAATCACAATTTTCAAGTTTGGGGATAGTATATAAAATGAAAGCAGAATTATTTTTTGTGAAGATTAGCTAGTTTTTTTTTTAACCTTTGCAAAAAATAGCCCATAATTTTTAACTTCATCAAAAAAAAATATTTTGTTCTTAAATGCAATTTTTTTTGTTGATATCTACCTTTCTAGGGCTCTCCCTCTGAGGTGCTCAAAGATGAGCGAGTTCAATATTGGATTGAAAGTTACCGGAATCTGTTGGATGCATGGAGATTTTGGCATAAACGAGCCGAATTTGACATCCATCGAAGTAAACTGGATCCCAGCTCAAAACCTTTAGCACAGGTAAGTATGGTTACAATTTTCCTGGCTGCGTAGTAATTTAATTAAGTTAGTATATTTAAGGACCTTAATTAAAGTTTGTCACTATCTTGCTTGTTAATATTTTACGGCCCTATTCACACAGCGCTAATCTTCCATTTATGGATGAGCAACAGATACATTTGTCAACATTATTTTGGGGTTTCAGGTTATATTAATGTTATAATGGAAATCATTTGCTGTTGTGTTTTTGATGGTATAAGGGAGATGTATGCTTTATTTTTTTTCCTGTTAGGTATTTGTAAGTTGCAACTTTTGTGGAAAATCAATCTCTTATAGCTGCTCAACTATACCACATCAAGGCCGAGGTTTCAGTCAGTATGGTGTAAGTGGATCACCAACCAAATCAAAAGTCACAAGTTGTCCTGGTTGTCGCAAACCTCTTCCTCGCTGTGCTCTTTGTCTGATAAATATGGGCACTCCAGTTTCCTGCTGCCCAGGTATGTCTCCCTAGTTTGAAATTATTCATTTAATTCAAAGATTTCTAGCTCTGAAAAACAATTGTTTGAATTCTTCAACTGTTTTTCTTTGTATATTATTAATGAAACTCAGGAGACTCTCACTATAAAAATTTTCAACTGTCCATTGAAAACTTATCTCTTTGTTAAGGCTTACCAATATAACTGCTGGAAGAATTCTTTTCTTTTTAACCGGTATTTCATTGTTTTCATTATAAACTGCTTGAAAAATAGTTTAGTTTAGGAAATGGTATACACTGGCATATAAAAATATTACATTAATATTTGAATAACATTGTCTTAGAACACTATGTTGCTGATTTTGACTGAATTTAATTAACTTTTATTACATTTTCTTTGCTGTGATATAACTTAAAACTGCTTTACAGTAAAATGCAATTAACAACCAAGCATTTTCGGTACCAGGAGACAGACTCAGAAAAAATAGCACTCATTAATTGTCTATCTTATATTAAAACCAGACAATTCATGATCTGGGGGGATCCTCTTTTCATAGGTGTTTCCTTATCTAAACAGAGAAACAGAATGATTAAGGGTAGATAAAAAAGCAGTGGGATTGGGAACAATGTCTGATTTCCTATTGGTTTCCCTATTGATTTTCCTTCTGGGAAATTGACTGGGGGCATCAGAAGTCTTCCTTCCTCTCCTGAAGTTCTGGCTGTCTCACCATCCCAATAAGGATATGATTGTGACCCATACACTTGGCAGTTGTCTTGCATTTAGGATGGTTGCAGTGTCCCATGGTCACATCATGACCATTTGGAACCTTCCCACCTAGCTTCCCATAAGCAACATCAATAGAGAAGTCAGGAGAGAAGGTTGCAAGTTGCACCATTGCCTTTTCTGCTTAAAAGCCCTAGTCTCCAAAGCACCCGAGGGCAGAACAAGAAGCAATAGGTTGAAACTAATCAAGGAGAGAAGCAACTTAGAATTAAGGAGAAATTTCTGACAGTTAGAACAATTAATCAGTGGAAAAACTTGCCTCTAGAAGTTGTGGATGCTCCAACACTGGAAGTTTTTAAGAGATTGGATAAACATTTGTCTGAAGTAGTGTAGGATTTCCTGCCTAAGCAGGAAGTTGGTCTAGAAGACCTCCAAGGTTCCTTCCAACTATTCTATTCTATTCCCTCTTCCTGCTTAACTTGTGTGGTTTGGGGGTGATGATGGCACCTGGGAGTGCCAGGTTTTTCATCAGTACATGATACGGTCATATGATATTGCACTTCACTGCTGCATCACTTAGTGATGATGGAAATTCCAGTCCCAAATTGCCCTAATAACTCAAGAATTGCTTGTTTGTACTGTTCACATCAACAACAAAATCATAACTGAAATCCAGGAATGCTGTTTTGCTTTATCTCAGCTTGTTGTTTGGCATGGGAGAATTGTCAATCCAAAGTTGTCTTGTTCATGTAGAACTCTTTGAACTCATGTAGAATTCTTTGAATTCTATTCCCTGCTTTGTAAACTCACAACACAAATATGTATGAGGGAAACAACTGTTTACTTTAGCTGCATAAAATAAGAGGGATCCTGTAAGACAAATGACCATTTTTTAAATCAGTGGCCTCCAACCTTTTTTGTGCCACGGCCCGGTACCGGCATCACAAAATGATCCGCGGCCCGGTACCGGCATCAACACACATGGCAAGGCGAGCCGAGCGACCGGCCAGCCAGCCGTCCCCTGCTTCTCCCCGCCACCTTCAACTCCTCCTTTGTACCTTTGTCGATGGGCTTTGGGACGGTCGCTCGGCTCGTCTTGCCTTGCGTGCTGAAAGAATCCTCGCACCTTAGTTTTGTTCGAAGCCGCCTCCCCCCTTCGATGAAACTAAGGCGCGAGGATTCCTTCAGGACCCAAACGCCGCTTTCCAACCGGAAAAGCTCACCGGAAGCACTTTCTCATCAAAACAAGATGGCGGCGCCCAGCAAACTGGCGGCCCGGTAGAAAATGTTCCACGGACCGGTACCAGTCAGGGGCCTGGTGGTTGGGGACCTCTGTTTTAAATCCTTTTTCACAATGAAAGGCTTCTTCTACTGTTTGTTTGGGATGAGTAAGCAGATAAATAGACTGTTACACAGCTCAACCAGAAGCTCATTGCAAGTTGTGGTAGAAGTCACAACATAGGTGTCTGGATGGGGGAAAGCAGACTCAGATTTAACCTAAATAAGGCAAAGTGTCTTTTGATTAGGAGACAATTTGATTGCAGGATTGTACCTTTTTAAAAATTTTTGGTAGGATTGTACTCAAGAGCAGGAGGATGACAATCTGGGAATAGTCGTGAACATGTGGCTCCTGCTCAAAAGTCAGGTAGAGATCATGACAGAGCTTCACTGGAGCATCAGTTGTGGCCTTAACCTGGAAGATCATGCTCTAATTGCATTTAGATATTGATTTACTACAAATTGCTATGCACGGGGCTGCCCTTGAAGACCATTTGGAAAATTCAGCTGTCCAAAGTACGGTTACATTCATGCTTAGGGGTCAGTTACAACACAACAACAGCAGTAATTAGTGGTCATTATCTATAAAGCCTTATATGATTTGATGCCTGGATATTTTTGGAATACCTAGGAATCTTTCCCAAAAGTTTCTTCCCTCTGTACATAAAATAACCAGGGAATGCTTGCTAAGAGTGTTAATTACCAGGAAGTACAGTGAGAAGAAATCTGGCAGCATGAATTCTTTTCTTCTCTGCAGCATCTCCCCTTAGTTTGTTTCCCTGACATAAAAATAGCCCTCATTATTATGGCCTTCTTAAGCAAGAAAAAACAAGGCCTTCATGGATTAGAAATATAAGCTGTGTTCCACTATTAAGTTTAATTTCCAATTTTTAACATTGAAATAATTTAATTTGATTACTATTTTTAATTGAGGTATTGACTTGTATTGCGTTTTATATACAAATTCTCTAAATTGGAGTCCTTATAGTTTCAGATGATAGATACACACTGTACATATATACATAAGTAGATGCAGGTAAGATGCTTAGTTTCCCTTGTTTTCTTTAGAAAAGTCAAATTTGAACTTATATAAAAATAGTTCATTTGAATTTGGAATACTATGGAATGAGATGAAGAAGCTTAGATAAAAATGAATATATAATAGATATAAGAAACAGAACAAGAGACTCATAAAACATTTACTGTTTGATTATTTAGTTTTCATTGCAATGGGTATTAATAAAAACATAATTATCAATTCCAAAGATTATTAGTCTGATGCTTAAAACATGACTAAATTTTTCAACTTTTGTATCTATGTTACCTCTTTTATAGTATTCATAAACATAATTGTTCTATGTGCTGATTTTTAAGTTGTTCTTTTCTCTTTAGTGACTTAATAACAGCTTTTCTGCTGGTATAGTATTTAGTAAGCAATTCTGATCGCTACAAAAGCAAATCAATTGATTTTTTTTTCATAAAGGAGGATCCAAATCAGATGAAAAAGTGGATCTCAGTAAGGACAAGAAATTAGCTCAGTTCAACAACTGGTTTACTTGGTGTCACAACTGCAGGCATGGTGGTCATGCTGGACATATGCTCAGCTGGTTCAGGTAAGAAACTAAAAACAATACTATGTGAAGCCAAGAATCTTTGTTAACCTTATCATGTATCTGTACCTTTAGTTAATGTTTACACATCAATGTATATCAACCAAATTCTAATTCTACAAACTATGTAGAAGTAAGAACTATATCGAGAAACAGATTAGCAAAAAATAGAGCACTTAATAAATATAAGAAAAAAATGTGTACATTCAATGAAAGTCTATCTCTGTGGAGATTCGCAGTTATCCGGGTTATCTGGGTCATGATTTCCCCAAAAGTGCTTTTTCAAGAGGCAACTGGACATTCTTGTTTTTTCTTTGAAGACCTTTCATTTCTCATCCAAGATCTTCAGCTCTGACTGGGTAGAGAATGGAAGGATTTATATTCCTTGCTGACATTCTCCACTATCCTCTCAGAGCTGAAGTAGCTTCTTGGATGAGAAATGAAATGCCTTCAAAGAAAAAACAAGAAAGTCTAGTTGCCTCCTGTAAAAGCATCTTTGGAACAACCATGACATGGATGACTTGAGAATCTCCATAGAATTTTAGCTGTGTAATTTGGAATGAACATCCTTTGAACGGTGTGGGAGTATGAACAGATTTCCAGAAAAATTGCAGACTACAGGAACCATTTAAGCTTCAGTTTGAGATGCAGACAACACAGACTTATCCCCAATAGCCTGTGCCTGTCTTCAACAGTGAAGGGACAGAGGCAGAAAACATCCTGCAGCCAAGAAGGCTCCACACCATTTGCACTACTCAGGTGACCCCAAGGACACAGATAAACCTCCAAGAGTCCTCAATGACTCTCTAAAAAAAATGCAAATGTCCAGCCATCTGCAAGGAATATAAACCCTTCCATTCCCTACTATCCAGTCAGAGCTCAAGAAGTTTCTTGGATGAGAAGCGAAATGTCTTCAAAGAAAAAACAATAAAGTCCAGTTGCCTCCTGAAAAAGCACTTTTGCAATATTCAATGGAAGATTTAAGATTTCAAAAATTTCACCTGTTTTTCATTACAAAATCTAGCAATCCTAACTCTAAATACCATTTGCAGTTCAGTGCAAAGGTTCACAGAATAGATTACACATCCACAAGTATTGATATATAATTATTTGTTAGAGTTTGCAGCAGAAATTCAAGTCCAGAAAACACCCATGACTGAGTCAGCAGGATCAATAATTTCTTTATAAACATATTAACACGAATAAAGTTTACAATACCATTTCTTTCAATGTAACATAAGCAAAAACACAAGCAGCAGCAGCAGCTCAAAGCAGGTATCAGTTTCAGCAAGCAAGTTGGTTTCACTTTCAATTCCCAGCAAAGCACACAGAGCCAAACCACACCCAAGCTGTTAACTCCCATTGGCTGATCTGTTGCCATGTTTACTTTGTTAACCATGTATCTACCAGTTAATGAATATACTCTGACATTATTTTAAAGAACTGTTATAATTAGTCAGTATTTTTGCCTGAATTTTTATAATTAGACTAAATGGCCAATTTATCTTTTAATGCATTTTTAAAATTTGTATGCTGCCAGCAAAACTTATTTCTCTTCCAATAATAATTTTTTAAGCACAGTCTATCTATAACTACAGAACTCTTTAATTACTGGCTCCACTGTTCATAAATATCTCTCACTTCGTCTAATCTTCATCCAACGTTAAGTATTTTATTCCATTCTGTATTAGTAGGTCAAACTTAAGTATTTTTCTTCTTTAATTGTAATATTTATTTCCATCTAGTTTTTTGTAATGTCCAACCTTTAAAGTTCCATCATTTTTTAAAAAATTCAAAAAAATAAAAGCATTTTCCCATAGGGAGGATTCTTACAATTTCAAACCCTTTATTTCCCATCTATATAGACCCTGTCCATATGTAAATTTCTAAAATCAATGTTCTAATCACCTTTTCACTTTTTTAAAAAAAATGGAAGCCCTTAACATCTTGTGCTGTAAAATTGATAAATTCAAAGTCTCCTAATACCCGAAAAGCAGTTACCATATATACTCGAGTATAAGCCGAGTTTTTCAGCCCTTTTTTTGTGCTGAAAAAATCCCCCTCGGCTTATACTCGAGTCAGATTCCCCTCTGAAAAAAATATAGTGTGGAGCTCCGGAGCTGGGCAGCCGCTTCCCTGCTTCCGTGTTTCCTTTGCAACTTGTAAGCATGGGGGTAATCGGAAGCAGAAAGTTCTTGCATGGTTTCCAAGGCGTCCCCTCCCCCCCTAATTCCTCCCTCCCCCTCCCACCTCCGACTCAATAAGCAGCGCTCAGGGTTGCCAGATCGCAGCTTGGCTCTGCGGCCAAACTCAAATCAAAATACGGCCAAATTATTTTCTCTCACGGCCAAATTATTTTATGCAATATAACATGAGGATATATTGTTTTTTCTTTTTTTAACTGTTTTTAGGGGGGGGAAAGACCCACCGTCATGTGAAAATGCTCAGACACGAAATCTATCCGCCCGAAAATAAGTGTGTGTGTGGGGGAGGAATTTTAACAGAGGGAAGATGTAGGGAGAAGGCAAAAGCGACGGAAGATCCTTCAGGGGAAACTGAGGGGGAGACTCACCCTTGGTCCAGATGAGCCCCCTTCCCCGCCCCTAAGGAAGCAGAGGCAGCCAGCAAGGGCAGGCAAGCCCCACTTCGCGGACTCCGTCCGTCCTCGCTCCCATCATTCTATTTATAGGGTTAATTTTTCAACCTTGGCAACTTAATTTTACATTTAACAGCTATTCATTAATCATGTTTCTAAGCCCTTTCTTTTTTAAGCCTTAATAATACTATATTCATATTTCTTATGAAAAATATATGCATAGGTATTTTATACTATGTGAACAAAGCAGTTGTTCTTAGAGTTAAACAAAATAATACTGTTTTGTTTTTTTCTTCGTATACAGAGATCATAATGAATGCCCTGTTTCGGCATGTTCCTGCAAATGTATGCAGCTGGATACAACAGGAAATCTCATCCCAGCAGAGGTGGTTCAGCCATAAACTAGAGCTTTTCTAAGAATTTTTACATCATCTCTCTAATTAATGTCCTTCACAGTCCAAATACATACCTCAGAACAAGTTATTCATGACTTCCTTTTAATAGAAATACAAATCATTTAATCACATCAGCAATTTGTGCAGATGGTTGATGTGCTGTGCATAAACAAGTTCTACTGGACTGAGTTTTTCAAACATGTCCTGTGGGTTTTATTCAGTGGTTTGTGAAGCAATTCTTTTCGGAGGGTTCATTGAAATGCGAAGGAAGACTTATGTTATCTGCACCTTCAGGCTTCCATCTAAGATGAAGTACTGTTGAACACTCTTTATGAATTTTATAAACTTCTAGAAAACTGTTCACCGGAAGGCAAATAAATGTGTTATAGATGTATTTTACACTATTTCTATTAATATTTTTTCTTACATCTGAGAAAGTTTCTATATTTTATTTGCTCACAGTACACTATAGTTAGCTATAATCTTGTGACAATCTTTTGATTAGCTTAGGTTTTACTTAGTTTGAATAAATAGATAGTAAAGCTGAATTTCAGTTAGTGTGAATTATATTCATCTGAATATTGCTTTGTTAGGACACTCATTTTGATCACAGAATCTTAATGAAGAACAATCTGAAAAAAATAGCTTAAATCACTGATAGTAGTAGGTGCCACTTACCATTATTATATTAATGATTTGTGCACCAAATACCGTGTTTCCCCAAAAATACAACTTATCCTGAAAGTAAGTCCTAGCTTCATTTTTAGACATGCACCCAATATAAGACCTACACCCAAAATAAGCTCTAATTAAGATCCCACCCACTCCAGGGTGCATGAGTAAAAATTAAGCTTGGAGCTGCCATACTACTTACCTTTGGACAGCTGCAGCCAGGCCTCGCACAGCCCACACCTGCCTTGCCGGCCCACTTCTTCTGCAGCTGGCAAAGCTTTCCTGAAGACCTCTGCAGCCAATAACAGAGCTTCTGATCGATCCTGAAGAAGTTCCTGAAGGCCTCTGACAGTGAAAAAGAGGCCAGGGGAAACACATGCAAAATAAGACCTGGTGCCTTTTTTGGTGGCAAAAAAATAAGGTAGGGTCTTATTTTCGGGGAAACACAGTGTTTCACTGCAACTGTTTTTCCATTGATTAAAATCTGTTTAAGATATAATAGAAGCAATATAAACATGTTACCAACAACAAAACAAATTGATTGAAATAGCAAGTTTATTCACTTTATCAGCAAGTTTATCTTGCTGATCAAATAGATTTCCTTTTACCCCTTGTACATTCAATGCTGTAGAAAATGCTATCCTACATGAGTGGAAATTCATTTAGATAACATTTGGTATATCCTGGTGTACTTATTAGTCTACATATTTTCTACCAATTACTAATATAACAAGCATGCTATTCAAAATTTCAGTAGATAAATTAAAACTCTACTTTCAGTGCAATTTAGTAACTGCTTTATATAACATTTACCTAATTGTCAATTTTATATTTTGTATTGTGCAGGTTAGTATTTAAGAATCATGCAACATTTTAATTATTTGCTTCTTTTTGTTTCTTGAAAAACATCTTTTTGTATGAAAAATGTTCTTCAGAAACCTAGATAATGGGCACAAACAAAAGGAATATACAAAATGAATTTCTCGTGCTTATGGAAAATGGCTCCGTTTGTACCCAGGATTTGAGCAACATCTATATGCATACCTGTTTTATAAGGGAGAAAAATCCTTAATGGATAAAATTATATTTATGTATAGTTTTATTGTGTGATATGTAGACTTTCTCAGAGTACTTCCAATCAAAATTTTGTTTCTAATTTGATATATATTTTTGGAATATTAATAAACAATTAATTTGTTTTAATAATTGTCTCAAATATTAAGCCATTAAATGCAGTTTAGAAACTATGTTTGTCCTTGTATTTGAGGTTCTTGTATTTGAGGTGCATGGATAGTAAATTGTCTTGCACCCTTATAAACATGAGCTGATATCTGGATTTTGAAAAGTAGGAAAGTTTTATTTGATGAGTAGGGACATCTTGCACCAAGTTATTTCAGTAGATAGCCATGACATATTGCTAGATAGCTACTCCTAGAATCCCCCAGTTAGCACAATGGCTAGAGAATTCTGGGATTTGAAATCTATACATTTTAAAATTGCCAAGGTTGAGAAACTTCGTTATAGATTATCATTTACCAATCTGGCAATTTCCAGATAGCTTAGGTTTGTATCATCCAGAATTGTCAACTAGGTTCTGGTTATTGCAGTTGTGGCATTTCAACTACTTGGATTCCACTAATAAAGCGGTTTCCATTTTAACTAAAATATGCTTGATTTGATTGCACAGTTTTGATTATAATTATTAGATTAAGCTTTTACTGTAATTCTGTATTGAAACATTGAGGTATACTTCATTTTTAACCTTTCTAATATACTTTTAAGATTTAATATTTTTGTGAAAAGAAGAGTGGAGCATTACCTAATTTTGGATCATTATTATTTTGCATTTTATGGTTAGCAAATTGGGCGTTGGTTCTTACCTGACACGCCAATTCTCTGGAGCCGTGAGGATCATCCAAAGTGTGGGAGGTGCTTCAGTGTACGTCGCTGATGGCTGAGCTCAATCACTGAGGAACGCTCCGCCCTCCATCACGTGGCTCTCTTGCGTTCCCCAGTTTGCGTGAAGACGAAGGTGAAGAGAAGGACGTTGCTCTGCTCTTCCTATGCTAAAGAGGTCATTGGCCGAAACAAGGCCCCACCAGACGGTAAATTAAGGGTGGGGCTGGATGATCCTCACGGCTCCAGAGCATTGGCGTGTCAGGTAAGAACCAACGCCCATTCTCCTGAGAGCCGTTCGGATCATCCAAAGTGTGGGACATACCAAAGCTTGGCTGTCCTACGGGAGGGACTCCGTCTGGTCCTGCAATCTCCGAGGTTCCCTGAAGACTCGCTGGAGAACTCGCCTACCAAACGAAGCCTCCGCCGAGGCAAAGGTGTCAATCTTATAGTGTCTAATGAAAGGAGAGGGGGATGCCTAAGTAGCTGCCCGACAAATATCAGAAATTGGAGCCTGGGTGGCCCAAGCCGCCGAGGTGGCTGCACTTCTGGTGGAGTGTGCTGTGATCCCCCTGGGTACCGGCAGTGCCTGGGACAAATAGGCCTTGGAAATGGTAGCCCTAATCCAGCGGCCGATGGTTGACGGGGACACTTTGTGGCCTAAGGATTTGGGTTGGAAGGAAAGGAAGAGGGATTCTGACCTCCGGAAGGGTTGAGTACGCTTAATATAAGTGCGTAGGGCCCGTCTAACGTCTAGTGAGTGCCAAAGCTTCTCCCTTTCCCGCGAGGGATGGGGACAGAAGTTTGGGAGTATGAGTTCCTGGGCCCTGTGAAAGGTCGAGTTAACCTTGGGCAGGAAGGTAGGGTCCGGTCGGAGGACCACCCTATCGGCATGGAATATGCAAAGGTCCTTCCTTACTGACAAGGCTGCTAACTCCGATATGCGGCGGGCCGAAGAAATGGCTACCAGGAATACTACTTTGAATGTTAAGAATTGGAGAGAGGCTTCCCTGAGAGGCTCAAAGGGTTGCTTAGTCAGAGACACCAGGACCTTGTTAAGGTCCCAGGTGGGGTATCGGTGTACAGTTGGGGGGCACAGGTTAGTGGCCCCCCTGAGGAATGCCCGGATACGGGGGTGGTGGGAAAGGGAACCCGGGTTGTCACAGTCAATGACTGTGGATAGCGCTGCGACCTGACGCCTCAGGGTGTTAGGGGAAAGCCCTTTCCTCAGGCCCTCTTGGAGAAACTCTAAAACCTGAGCTATGGAGGGTGATAGCGGGTTGATCTGAAGAGTATGACACCACTTGCAGAACCCCTTCCAAGTGGCGTTGTATATGCGGGTTGTTGAAGGCCGCCTGGCGGCTAAGATGGTCTCGATAACCTGGTCAGAAAACCGTTCTTTCCTTAAGTGTTCCCGCTCAACCTCCAAACGGCTAACTGGAGCCACTGAGGGTCCGGGTGTTGGAGGGGCCCCTGGGAGAGGGATATCCTGGTCGGGGGAATTCTCCAGGGAGGGGCCACCGATAAGTTGCGGAGGTCCGCAAACCAGGGGCGCCTGGGCCAGAAGGGAGCCACCAGAATCAGCTCTGCCCTCTCGGAGATGAGTTTCTGGAGAACTCTGGGAACCAGGGCTAGAGGCGGGAAGGCATAGAGGAGCCCGGTGGGCCAGGGGCAACGGAGGGCGTCGTGATTCTCGGCCCTGTGGGAGGGGTACCTGGAGAAAAACCTGGGGAGTTGCGTGTTGAGCGGAGAGGCGAAGAGGTCTGCTAACGGGAGACCGAACCTTCTGGTCGCCTCCCTGAATAGGGACGGGTGGATGCGCCATTCGGACTGGTCCACCGAGGTCCTGCTTAGCCAGTCCGCTTGGGTGTTTGAGTCCCCTGAGATGTGTTCGGCTTTGAGGGAGAGGAGATTGCGCTCTGCCCAACGGCAGAGGCGTTCGGCCTCCCTCATCAAACGGATGGACTGTGTGCCCCCCTGACGGTTGACGTGAGCCTTGGCGGTGACGTTGTCCGTGAGTATGAGGACGTGCCGCCCGCATACTTGAGGGAGGAAACTGCGCAGGGCCAGGAAGATGGCGTGGAGCTCCAGCCAATTTATACTGCACCCCCGTTCTACCTGAGACCATGTACCCTGAGTTGAGAGCGAGAGGATGTGAGCGCCCCATCCGGACAGGCTGGCGTCTGTGGTGAGGGTGAGGCGGTGGGGCTCCTTGATGAAGTGACCCTTGTTGATGGTGGGGCTGGTCCACCAGAGGAGAGATGTAAGGACTCTTGGAGGCACCTTGACTGTGGCCTTTGAGTTGCTTCTGCCGGTCCGCTGGAACGGGAGCAGGAACCATTGTAGGGGTCTAGCGTGTAAACAGGCCCATGGAACAATGGAGATACAAGAAACCATTTTACCCAGTAATTTGGACAATTCTAAAATTGTAACCCTTCTGGATCGTCTGATGTGCCTGACGGCTACCTGGATACTAAGGAATCTCTCGGGGGAGAGGAACACCTTACCCTGCACTGAATCAATGACAGCCCCCAAGTGGGAGATACTAGTAGATGGGGATAGTTGGCTCTTTTGCCAATTAACTAGGAAGCCATGGTCTTGGAGGGCCGAGATAGTGACCCTAATGTCCCTCTCTGCTTGGGGCCTGGAGGGAGAGAGGATGAGAATGTCATCCAGGTAGCAATGGAGGCGGACCGGGAGATTCCTGAGATGGGCCGCCAGGGCCGCGAGGACCTTAGTGAAGGTCCTCAGGGCAGAGGCCAACCCAAAGGGAAGGGCGACATATTGGAAGTGGCGGTGGTTATAACAGAACCTGAGGAATTTGAAATGGGAGGGTCGGATTGGAATGTGGAGGTAGGCCTCAGAGAGGTCTATAGAGGATAGCCAGTCCCCCTGCCGGATGTTAAGGAGAATGGACTGCAGGGTGTGCATTTTGAACCTGCGAAAGACCAGATAGCGGTTAAGGCGTTTAAGGTCCAAGATGGCCCTCCAACCTCCGGAGGATTTGGGAACTACGAAAAGGTGGGAGTAGAACCCCTGCCCCCGCTGGGAGGGTGGTATGGGTTGAATGGCCTGTATGTGGAGAAGATGATGGATTGCTGCATCCATTAGGTTACGTTTGATGGGGTCCCTTGAGGGGGGGGACGCCAGAAAGAAGTTAGGGGGGGGCTC